CAATCGAGTCGCGTTCTCGTAACGTGAATTTTAACGCTTAACCTCGAATTACGTTATTACGGCTAATTCGGCGAGCAAATGCATGGCTACGCGACTTTGATCATTAAAACGAGGCTTAGGGGGTTAATAATCGCGGCTCTTACTTAATGCCAGACGGTAACAATGCCCGCGGTAATAACACGGGACGTTTTCGCTCGAACGAGCACGCGAAACTAAGCTCTAGAGACCGGGCGAGGGCTCCGGGCGTCCTCCCGCCGCCACCCACCCCGAGTAGGCGTCGTCCCCTAACCTATACGCATTGTTTACGCGCCTACATAACCTCCGACCCTAAACCGGAAGCCTCTCGTGCTCGGAGAGCACGGGCCGGTCTTCCCGGGATCCCGGAGGCATGCTCGCCATCTTGAATGCCAATGGATATTCCCGTAACCCTCGGCTCACCCTCCGGCGATCCAGGAAATCGCGACAAACTACGGGCCCGGAGGACCGATCGCATACCCGGGGAAAGTCCACGGGGAACGAGCGATCGCGATACTCCAATTTTTTCCCGCCGCGACAAACAATTTCGAGGCCGGAGAAGCCACCGCCGAGGAGGAATTCAGGGACGGTTTAAACCGTCCCGTCCGTCGGACGGGGTCGTGGGCAGGATGCTTAAATAAACCGAGGAGAATCGAAAAGCCATTAGTTCGGACTCGTGGGGTGAATTCTAATTCGCGGGACTGGCGCGAGCCGACGGAGGGAGCGAAGCCTCGACTCGGCGGGCGGATTTCGAAAAAGCCGACCAGGCCCCGGGCAGAACTCAGGGACAGCCCGAAACACCCTCGAGGTGGCGGAACCGAACCTAAGACAGTCGAAAACCCATTACTTCGCTCTCCCGGGGTGAATTCTAATGCCCGGACGCAACGGCCCGAACGAAGATCCATCGTTGCTCGCGATAACGGAAGATACGGATTTCCTCTCGCCCGAGTCGATTCGCGAAACGCCGAGAGCCGATGTTTCTCCGAGACCACGCGGCGCAAGCGTTCCGCATAAAATACATAAACGCGGACGACGTCAATCTGGACTTCGACAAAACCAGGAAGAAATGCGGCAAAGTCGATCGGCCGTACCGCGAGAGTCGAAATGAAATGGAGATTTGCGGGCGATGTCTAAACGTTTAGAGAGCCGCCGCTGACCTCGGCCCGACCGGGCGAGCGTTCGCGGCGGGGAGGGATAGCGTAATTTAATTTGGTGATCGAATCACTCGCCGTCGGTACGAGACCTGGAAGCAATTATCCCGGTATCGGCCCGGCTCAATTTCGGCTCCTACAGGACGAATAAATCCGCAATTTTCCCCGGCGGATTCTCGCCGAGGATAAATCCGCCTACGACGATTTTCTTTACCCCAAAGAGAGGTACGCCGATTTCGCCGTTGTCCAGGTCCCGCCTTTTAGGACCGGAAGGCGAGGTCGGGGACGAAGATCGATCTCGCTCTTTGGGCCGTTCCGAGACGAAATATAATATTTCCGACCTCGCTCGGCTCCGGCCGCGTTTCGTCGGGTTCCTCCGCGTAAATAGCCCCGCGGCAAGAGAGGGCAAGAACGACCTTAATTACTTTTCTTCGCAGGTCGCGCCAACTTTTTGTGTCAATGAACCTCCGCTTCGCGAGCGGATTCCCCGTCGGCCCGAGGGGTTTCCGACGCCCCAAAAACGCGACGATCGACGCGGATACCGCGGGTGCGCCCCGGGAAGAAGCGGCCGACGAGGGTCGCACCTACTCACGGAATTAACGGGCGAGAGGATCCCGCGACCCCTTCCCATTATCAAACCACGTGGAATCCTCCGTTCCGCCGACGCCCTCCACCACTTGTTATTTACCCTCCTTCGGGGGAGGCATCGAGAATCGCGAGTCGTGCCGGGGCACTTCTCGGGGCAAGGGGGGAGACGCCGCACCTGTGTTCCGAATAATGGAGCCCGCGAGCTTCTCGCCCCGTATCCGGTCCGGGTATTTCAACGTGGAAATATGTCGTTTATCCAAAAAAATGTATACGCGGAATTGGATGATTTTCGGCCATCTCGAGAAAATAAAATAGATACGAGGACATATTTGCGGTTATATTTAATCGACGGGTTTTTAATATAAAAAAATATGTTGACATATTTCCATATCCGTCGCGACTCTCGCTCCAGCGTGCCGCGACATCGGGGCGAGGCCCGCGAGGTCCCTCTCGCGGTCGGGGGCGGGGGGTAAATCAATATATTCCACTCACGCAGCGGCGTAACGACGTCGCTCTTTCATAATTTCTCCGCCTTTCTCACGAATCGGAAATCGTTCGCTTCCCCGGTTGATTCGCATCGCGCGGAAAGGAAGTTTACCTGGGTTCTCGGAGCGAAGTCGAGCAGCGTCGGCGGCCACGAAGGGGCTGGATATCGCATCGACGACGACAGGGCGGAGAGCGGGAGCAGGCTCCCCTTCCAGCTGCAAGCCGGACGGCAAAGAGGCGCGAGGAAGCTTCGCTAATTGGAGTCTCCCGGTATTCCGGTCACGTCCCCGACTCGCGGCTCGACGCCTCCGGCTCGACGCCTCCGGCCCGACGCCGGAGGCCCGACTGACCCCGCGGCCCGCGGGCACGAGATATAAACAAAGCGGCGGGTGACGCCCAAGGGACTTGAAATCGCGGTAATGCCTCCTCGAGCTCCCGGAAAATCGGGCGTAAACACGGTCCAAGCTGCCCCCTCTGTCTCCTCTGCTCTCTCCAGCGACCGAGTTGCGCATGGAGAAGTTTGGTTGATTCGAGGATATCCGTCGAGCGCTCGCGATCATCCGCGCTCGTTGTTTGGTTGGGGGAATATGCTCGCAATGGCGATATGCTTCGACCGAGCACGACCGAGGCTGAAGAGTCGCGTCCAACTGCGGCGCGAAGCACTCTCGTCTCTGGAAATTCGTTTTCGAAAAAGCTCGCTCGGGAAAAAATAGAGACCGGGAGCGTAGGAGAGGACAAAAGTGCTGGCCGTCGGTTCGAGCTCGATTTTTGACCCGCCTTTGCCGGATTTTCCCCCAAAGCACGATTTCGTGAGCAAATAACCCCTCGGACTCGACTTAACTCGACGTGGAAACGATTAATGACGCGGAACGGGTGGTATTATAGTTTGCGCGACACCAGGGAAATATGAAAATTGTTCGCCGTCAGTCGGGGACATAAATTTCAAGTCGCGAGTTGACTTTTATTTCCTGCGACGCGGTCCGACCGTAACCGGATGACGGGGCGACGAAAACAGGAGGACGGCCCAGAATTCTGCTCCCTTCGGCTTTGTCTTTATTTATGCTGGCGTTTCGCCGCATCGTGGATTTATTCGCCGCGGATCTCGCATATGCAAATGCGTTTTCGCGCACCGATGCAAAATGGAAGGGAAACCGAAAAGGAAGAGCCGGAAACTCGCGCGCGCTCTCGGGCGCGAAAATGCCGGAACCCCCGCGAAGACAACGGCCTCGCCGAGGATTTCCACCTGGCGAGGTCGACTATTTTTCACGGAAAGGTAGATTCAGCGCCTGTTCGCGCATTTCCATGGAAGCGGAAAAACGTAACCACTGTCCTTTACGGACCTGACTCCCGATTTAATGGACCGACTTGGCCGAGAGATGAGCGCGTTTCAGAAATGTCGCCGCTCGGGTCGCATCTCGAAATGCATCCTGACCGTGGAGTTAACATTCGCTGCGTGCCGTGAAAATTGCCGTCTCCGTCGTAACGTTCCCGAGCATCGGGATTGGGTGTCCTAAGTTTCGCATTAAAACGGTTTAAATATGGTCGTTTCGCCGGAATGGCGTTTTCGCGTCAAAGACGACAAGGACTCGCGAAAACCCGTCCTTCACCCAGTAGATTTAGCCTTGGAAACTTTGACGCTTTATCCTAACCACTTTAAGGAGTCCAATTAATTACACCTTCCCGGGACAAATCACTTCCAGAGGAACTTTAACTCTCAAACGCGAAACCGTAAAGTCGGATTACGGGTGACCGAGCGAACGTCGTAACTCCGGTATGCATTTCGAGACCTTTCCTTCCGTTCCTTCCGTTCCCTCGACCGGAACCGAGTCCTTCGTTTGTCTTTCTTCTCGCTTTTGATCTTCTATTTTTCCATAATTTCGCTTATTCCGTCTATTAAACGCAAAGCCGTCGAGTCGAATCGAACGTTCGCGGAAACCGGTCAAACTCTTGGGATGCTTCCGAATTGAAAATCGTCCTTATAACGCGCCTCTCTCGAGCGAGAGTTTGCGAATGATGCAAATAAGCAGAAGTGGACGATATCGCGAAACCGTTTGTTCCATTCCTGGTGGAATTTCGAGTACGATTCTATTGCCGCGATTCACCCGTGATTCGAGCATCCCATTTTTCCCCGGTCGAGATTAATCAATTTTTCAAAATCCACGTACCGACAATGGTCTGAATCCCGTGTCGAAATATTTACCCGGGCAATTCGTTTGAAAAGCCCAATTTGCCGGAAACGTCCGATCGAGGACTCGAGGACTCGAGAAGACTCGAAAGGCCGAGTCAAATTTACTCGGCGATGTCGAGTTTTAAACGGATTAACGAGACCTTTTAAATAACGACGATATTTTTAAGACTCTTTTTAGTCTGTTTTCGCCAATGCGTCGACGGCGCGAAACGCGAAGATGAAAAAGAGACGACCGACGGGCTCTATTAAATTCTGACTGCGTCAACGCGCGGCCCTCCCTCTCGCGAGTCGTTTCTTTAATTTCGCATCTCCGACAGAATTCACGCGTAATGAATTTCAATGTCCCTACGTTGCAGCGAATCGGAGAGAAATCCAGCCCCGGCAGTCGGGCTGGAAATTCGCAAGCTCTTCAATTATTCGAGTAACCTTTCGGTGAAGCGCGTCGCGCTCTCTCCGTTTCGTTCTCCGTGCACCGATGACTCGATAATTAAATCGAATCGTTTGCTCGATAAAAACTCGCATACGTCAAGGTCGGGTCGCTCCGTCGAGGCGGTAATCGATTACGGACTCACCTGCAAATTGGGTGGACAATGGTCGAGCAACTCCAGCATGTGCCTGATGTTCTGGGCATCCTGAATGACGAAGTTCAGCTCCATGTCGAATTCCCCGCCCACGAGCTGTTCGAACAAAAATAAGAGGGGAGTCAGAGACGCGCATTCGGGAGAAGTCCGAATAGAGTTCCTTGTACACTGACGGTCATGAATGGCTTCCTCGTGTATATGGTGCAGCCTGGTGGTGGTAACATAAACGTATCGTAAAAAATAAGCTCGAGAACTTATGTACCTGCGGTACCTGATGTATAATAAACTGTAAAATAATTAATGTAATAAAGCAACTTATTGAGCAATAACAATGAGTACGTTTAATTAGACGAGCATGTCTAGCAAACCCTCTAATCGCCTATTCCTGATCCTTGAAAATCACTCGTAGATCTAAGGGAAGAAACTCAGTGCCACCTCCTCGGTTGTCCTATGACCCTGTTAGAAATCGGAAATTTCAACCCCTAAAATTTTTGCCCGTGCCACCTCCTCGGTTATCCTATGTTCCTGTTAGAAATCGGAAATTTCAACCCCTAAAATTTTTGACCGTGGGAAACACCGTGCCACCTCCTCGGTTATCCTATGTTCCTGTTAGAAATCGGAAATTTCAACCCCTAAAATTTGTGCTCGAGAGAATTCCGTGCCACCTCCTCGGTTGTCCTATGATCCTATTCCATCTCTGGCGATTTGTAACAGGAACATAGAATAACGAAGGAGGTGGCACGGGATTCTCCCGAGCAAAAATTTTAGGGGTCGAAATTTCCGATTTCTAACAGGATCATAGGACAACCGAGGAGGTGGCACGGAGTTTCTCCCGAGCAAAAATTTTAGGGGTTGAAATTTCCGATTTCTATCAGGATCATAGGACAACCAAGGAGGTGGCACAGAGTTTCGTGCCTTAGATCTATAGGTGATTTTCAAGGATCAGGAATAGGCGATTAGAGGGTTTGCTAGACGTGCTCGTCTAATTAAACGTACTCATTGTTATTGTTTAATAAGTTGCTTTATTACATTAATTATTTTACAGTTTATTATACATCAGGTACCGCAAGTACATAAGTTCTCGAGCTCGTTTTTTACGTTACGTTTACGTTACCACCCCCAGGCTGCACCATGTACACGAGGAAGCCATTCATGACCGCCAGTGTACAAAAACGTGAAACTCGTAGCCGAAACTTGCAGCCAAGCTGCCTCGGGAAACGACAGCGGCGTTCCGCTCCACTCGAAAACGACACTTATGATCAAGTAGCGATCCGTCTCTCTCCTGTTCAGCCTTACCATACCAAACTACCTTCGGAGTGGAACTCTGGACAACGGATCGACCCTTTGCGTTATTTCTTTAACGCACGTTTACGGTCAGAGGCTTTTCGCGATGCTGCCCTCGTTTAAAGGGTCCTTTGAACGCTCCAAATGTCCGCCGGCGGTCTCTTGTCCTTTAAACGAAAACTGGTTGAACGCATTGGATGGACCACCGCAACGAGGGCGCAGCTTTCGTTTCGACGAGCTGGCGGCACCGGTGGAAAAAAAAAAAAGAAAGAACGAACTCGATTCCCCGGAGCCGCGGTGCTCGTCAAAGCCGGATTCGCAACGAGTTAATGAAATTCCCCGATCGAGGCTCTTTATTTCCATGTAAACGAATCTCGAGGCCAGTCTTTCCGCGAGCATTTCAACGAGGCCTGCATTATGAGATTCGATTCGCATCCGAAGCCGTTCCGGATTCGTTGACGAGCTCGGTGCGCCCTCGATGCGCCCTCGATGCACCCCGGGTGCACCCCGGGTGCTCGTCGTTAAACGTTTAGGGGGAAACGACGAGGGAACGTCTCTTTATCGCGATCCGGTATTTTCCACCCTCGTCCGATCCCGTTTCATTTTCCGACCGACTTATCTTCCAGGAGAGGTGACGTTTTCAATATTCATTGCGACGGGCTTGTCGACATTGCGGAATTTCTCGATGCAAGCTGCATCGAATTTGAGTTGTACAACTGTGCGAGCCCGGTTAACTAGCTAGGCTCCCTCGAGGTCTGAGTCGACGAGAAATGGTTCAAATAGCGGAGGAAACGTATAGGTGTACGTAGGGAGGACGGTGACGCCTTGAAAGAATTATTTCCATCTTAATTAAATTCTAACTACTGGCCGAGTGGTCCCCCTTCCGGTACTAGTCCACTTCTCGCAGTTATTACTTTTCCGAAGGATAAGTTTTAAGCGAATTGCCCGAAGAACAAAAAAAATATATGCCGGTTGTTTTCCTCGTTAAAACGGATTCATACGGTATGGCGATATTTGGAAAAGTTGGAAGCGAAGAGAATACGAGTATACGACCCGATGGAAGCAAATATTTTATTGTCGGATCAAAATGATAAATGTTTCATGCACGGAATTAATAGTTAATAATGCGATCGATAGCCATTATCCTCGTGAAGCGTCCGGCGTTAGGTTTTCGGTTAAAATTGCGTTTACCGAGTTTAATCGATTTCCGTAAATGAAGAAAAATTGTTGAGCGGGACATCGAAATTGACGCTAATTAAATCGATAAAAACATTACGACCTGGTAATGGGATCGCGATTCCGGGCATTTGAAATATCACGAAAATATCGTCATTTTACGGTGCGAACGTTTACGTTGAACTCGGTCCTCCGTTGAAAAGTGGAAGGACGAATCGGATGAATCGGTAGACAATTTCTCCCGAATGAATTGAAATTCAGAGAATCGCAGAGACCAGTCTCGTTAGCGGGAAGGTTGTTTGCGGAACACCGTGGAGGCGATGAAAGAGAGACAACGAGAGAGATTGCGGATTTACTCCGGGGCCAATTAATTAGGCGTACAATTCCGTTGGCTTCCGAGAACTCGAAAACATTTTGCAGGAATTCTTACGTCACCGGAAGAGCAGACCTTCGGAATATTTCCCGGGAAGAATTCAATCTTCCTCTCGGAGGGAGGGCTCCTCCCCATGTGAAATGAATTTCTCGGAAATTGGGGGAAAGTGGATGAAAGGAGCTTCCACCCTTCGCCGTTAGCACGCCTATACGGAGGGAAAAAACGACGAGATCACGGAACCGAGGGGTGGTTATCGCTCCCGCGATATTTCCTTACGGAACGTACAGAATTTCGACTCTAGCTTTATCAATTTTTCGCCCGGATGCTAATTGGGGTCGATTACGCGTTTGTACGAAGAATAAATACGGAACAACCGAATCGTGATCGGTGGATGAGCATCGCTGGGAGAAGCTCGATAATATAAACATCTCTGAAAGCTTTTGTTTGTCGCGAGTGTAGGAAAAAAGCCTTTTAGGGGACGGGAAAAGTCAATGATCGAGACGCTGCCCCATTGAAAGCCGCTGTACCTCGGTAGCTTTGCAGGGGACGAAACGCTGGCCAACAAAGGGTTAGAATACCCGAGGAATTAGGGGTGGACTCTGCAGTGCCCTCGCTAATTGGGTACTGCTTGCTTTCACACCTTACACCCTACAGTGTCCCACATACATCAACGATCCCCGGCCATAGCGAACTCGGCTGTTCAGCATTGCAAATACCGCTGCACCTAAAAGCGGACCAAGGCGAGGGGATTGCGCGAAACAGCTTCAAAACTTATATCGCCGTTGACTATAGAAGGGAATAATTACGCCCAGGGTGAGAGCCATCGCAAAGAATCGTCCCGACGCGAAACGCAGAGATTTCATAGTTATCCTCCGGAAGGACGTCTCCGTCTTCTCCGAGATGGGAGAATCGATCGGTGGCGGTTTTGGCATCGAGGGGAACCGCGATTCCTTTTCCGCGCCTACCAGAAGCGACGCAATGGCTCTCTCGAAGAAGAAGGCGCCTCGGACCTCGGATAGCATCCATCCGCCCCGAGATCTGCATTTCAATCTGCAGGTAATGCCGGAGCAGCTATTCCTGTCCCCGCGGAGACTCGGATCGAACGAGATCGGCCGTATTTACATATCGACATTGGAAGAAGGGGGTGCGCATTCCGTGGGGGTTAGCTCGGGGCCATCGGTATAACCGCCAGCCGGGGGGCTCGGATGAAAATGGAGAAAAAAAGGTTCTCGAGGAAAATGGAAGGTAATGCCAGAATGCAGGGAACGCATCCCTTCGGGAGGTGGGCACGCGACGCGCCGTCGAGCGTTCCCCTCGAAAGGGATCGATCGTCCCGACGTGGTTATTTCCGGAAGATGGCTGGATTCTCGTCCGACCTGGACGAGCTCCCGATTTATTTGTCAAATTTTCCTGGAAGGAAAAGTGGACTAGTGGAAGATCGCGTCACCCCCTCGGGAAGCCCTCTTGGAATTCGGGAGGGCGCGGGTTTTACGCACCTTCCCGCGGGACGCGGACGTTTCCCGCCTTGGTTTACGAACGAGACGTTGCCTCGTCGTAAACGAGATCCTACGAGGGATTCAGGATTCGCGCTCCCGCCTCCGTGGATCCCGACCCGGGGCAATATCTCGCGGCTTTATGAAAATGCCCCGGCGGGCACCTGCATTCTTCCGGGAAGAAATACCGCGGCATCGTAATTTCTCATCTCGCCGGAGCGGCCCGGAAGACGCGGCTCCTCCGCGAGTCGCGGACGTTTGAGCCGGTCCTCCCCCTAATTAGGCCGCCACTCGCGACGTTCACCCCGTAGACGGTTTTTCCAATGGCGACGTCGAGCTCCGAGGAATCCGACTCGTTAGACGTCGTTGAATATTCATTTCCCTCGCGCTACTCGCGGCGACCCAGGGCCACGAGCGGACCTCTCGGTCGCGAGAGCTGCTCCGGAGGCGACCCGGAGGCGACCCGCAGGCGACCCGCAGGCGACCCGCAGGCGACCCGAAGGGGGCGAAATCGGGGAAGAGCGGTCGTCGCAGTCGCGGGTCGAGACTCCCCCGCATCCTACCCGGGATTCTCTTTGTCGTCGCGATTCCTCGTCCCGCCCCTTCATCCACTTACCCGTGGCTTGGTTAATTAATGAAACTCCCTTGTACGGGCCTCTTTAACGAGACCGAGGAGTGGCCGCGGATCGCTAACCCTCCGAGAGGCGTCTCTTCCGTCGCGAAAAAACGCTCGAGGGCGGGACGTCGTTTCGGTTTCGATTGAAAATTTA